GGAGCCCTGGGTTCAACCCCCAGACTCCAGTAAGCGCGATCCAAATCAACAAAACAAGGGCACTGAGAAAAAAAACGGGAAGGCTTGGACTCACGGAGTTCCTCTGTGACATTCTACCGGCCGAGTCTGAGCTGCTTCACCAACAAGGAAACAGTGGAGTGCCAGGGGATCAGGCTGAAAACTCAGGGGATACGCCTCTTCCTCCTGCGAGGCACCCTGGACAAAGGTGTTCGGTGCCAAGCAGGTGGAACTGGGTTCTTCGGGAGAAGCCAGAGATGTTTCTTTCCAGATCAGAGAGGGAAGCAACTAGCCACTATGGAGGCTCCACGACCATGTTCTGGGGCTTTTGGTAGCCCTCCAGGGCATCTGCTACAGGATGGGGCAGCTGGCAAAACTCACACTCTGTTCTCTGTCCACCCTACTCCTGTTACTGCTTCAACAAATCAACTCTTGGCCAGAGAGAGGGCTCAACAGGCCGAGTACAGGCTTTGCATGCAAGAGGACCAGGTTCATTTTTTTGGTTTTTGGCCCACACCTGGCAGTACTCAAGGCTTACTTCTGGCTCTTGCTCAAGGATCACTCCTGGCAAGCTTGAGGGACCATACAGGGTGCCAGGGATCAAACCTAGCTGGCCACATACAAGGCAAGTATACTATCACTTCACTATTAAACCTCTGTAGGGTTTAATTCCTGGGCACCACTGAAAGCAATCCCTGAGCACAGAGATGGGAGCAACCACTGAGCACTGTCAGGTGTGGTCCAAACACCCCTCCCCAAAATTAAAGAAACTAAATAAAGCAACCCTGGAGGACCCAGGGAAAGCAGGCTAGGTTTCAAATGTTAACTAGGTTTCAAATGTTAAACATGATCAACCAAGTTCTGAGTCACAGGCAGTCCAGAGACAAAAACCTAAGGCCCCCTGGGGCCAAGCAATAATACAGTGGGTAGGGCGTCTACCATGCATGCAGCAGACCCGGGTTTGATCCCTGGCATCCCATATGATGCCCCGAGCACTGTCAGGAATGATCCTTGAGCACAGAGCTAGGAGTAACCCGTGAGCACCGCTGGGTGTGGCACTAAAACAAAAACAAAAAAAGAAAGAAAAGAAAAAGAAATCTAAGGTCCAAACATTCCTTTAAATTAATTGGTTCTGAGGCTGGTAAAAGATAGTACAGCAGGTAAGGCTTTTGCATTGCAAGCTGCTTGATCCTGGTTCTATCGCAGTACCTCATATAATCCTGAGAACTGCGAGGAGTGACCCCCTGAGAGCAAAACGCCAGGAGTAAGCCCTGAACACCACTGAATGTGACTCAAAAAGAAAAAAAAGCGTGGGGGGGGTGTAATGGGAGGGAAACTGGGGACACTGGTGCTGGGAAATGTACACTGCTGAAGGGGCAAGTGTCGGAACACTGTATGACTGAAATCTAATTATGAACAGCTTTGTAAAGCTCCATCTCACAGTGATTCGATAATAAAACCTTAAAAAAATATGTCCTGGGGCCAGAGAGCTAGCACAAGGGTTACAAGAGTTAAGGTGCTTGCCTTGTACTCAGTGGACCCCAGTGAGATTCCTGGCAGTCAGAAGTGATTCCCCAAGCAGAGAGCCTGGAATAAGCCCTGAGCACCACCAGGTGTGGCCCCCAAATCAAACAGCAGCAGCAGAAAAAATATATACATATATACGCACACATATGTGATTATGTATATATGTATATATGTGTGTGTGCATATATATATATGTAGTTTATATATTGCTGGGGCGAGGGAAATAGTTCAAAGGAAAGAGTGCATGTCTGGCATGTATAGGGCACCACATTGATGCTCCACATTCCCTGGTAGTCTTTAACAGAACTGGAGATCAGCTCCCTACTCCCCCCAATATGTACATACTGCATACGTATACACTAGAGCTACTGCTTTTTATTCTCTATTTGCGGGGATGGGGATGGAACCCAGAGCCTCATGCGTGCAAGGCAGTCCCTCCCCCAGAGCGCTTTTAATCTTCATAACAACCTATCAGACAGACAGGACTCTCAGACTGTTACAGAAACAAAGGGTGGCTCCCAGGAGCATAGAGTGCCTCGTCTTCAATTACTTAGCTAATAAGGGTTCAGAGCAGGAGCTAAGATGTCCCTGCTCCCAGTCCAGTGCTCAGGAAGCAGCAGGCTGGCACTGGCAGATAATGGGAGCCCACCTATTTCTTATCTTAGACAGGGCGTGGCCTCCCCAGGCTCCGCGGCTGGCATCGCACAAGCCCAAAGCTCCGGAGCAGGTCAGAAGCAGGAAGGCCCAAGGATGGCTGCGGCCGTGGGCAGCAACCCAGCCTGTGTCTTGGCTGGGTCTTTTGGGCAGGCTGGGGCTGGGGAGGTCGCTAAGGTGGAAAAAAAAAGGCGCATTTCCCGTCGAACACGCGCACTCTGGAGACCGGGTGTGCCTACTCGGGGATGTGAAGTGGTACACTTTCTCCACGGAGGACGCACTCCGCCTCAGCCCTCGAGGGCAGGTGTGACCCTGAGGACTGGCACTCAGGCTCGTGTAGACGAACTATCCGGGGCTGGGCCACTAACTCTAGTGCCGTGGCTGCCAAATCTGGCGGGATGCCCCCCGAGATCCTCGCGGGGACGGGCGTTCCACTAAAAACAATCTCTCCACTTTCCACCGAAGTTAAGGGTAACTTTAAAAACTAGTAGGACCCAAAAAAAAAAAAAGCTGACGGACAGCAGTTCCAACCAATAGAAACCCGAAGACGGAGACCAGGGGCCAATCGTTGCACCGCTAGTCCGGAAGCCCGCAGTAGCGGAGGTCACCGGCTCAGGACTCACCGCCGTTGCGGCCGCGTCGCCGTTACCAGACATGGCTGTACTCGAGTAAAGGGCCGGGCGCTGCCGCCAAGCTTCCCCGGGAGCCGGAGAGGCCGGACGCAGCGGCCGGCGGGGACCGCGTGCAGCCGGCCGGAGCCCGTGCTGCAGCCGACTCCAGGCTCTGCGATGGCTGCGTCACTTCCGGCTACGCCCTCTGAGGGGCGGGATCTCCCTGGGGCGGGAATTAAAAGGATTGCGACAGCCCTTACCTGTCGGTTACCGCGCCCACTCAGCCAGGTGGAACGCCGGATTCCTGTTTGTCCAGTCTTCTGGTTTCTCCTACTCCTTTCTCCGTTAACTATGCGGAGTCAAGAATTCCGAAGGTCAGTGCCTAAAATATTCTCACCAGGAGCCGGCCAGTTAGTATAGGGGTTAAAGCGCTTGCATTGCACGACGCAGACCCAATTCAGTACCACATAGAATTGATTTCCTCCGAGCACCGCCAGGAGTGATCTCTTAGCACATAGCCAGAAGTAAACACCTCCGGGTGTGGGCCCCACCCCTAAAATATTCTTCCCCGGTTTACCCGCAAAGTAACTGCAGTCTCATATCACCCCAAGGTTAAGCCAAAGTTAGGAAACCCCAAGAAAGAGTTAACTCTAAAATGACGCATTATAAGTGAAGTGTCACTGGGCATGTAACCATGCCTTTTAGGCAGAATTCATAATCTGCGAATGAGAGCTGGATTGCAGCCCAATCGACGTTTGTTATGGGGAAAGTGGCACGCCTTGTTGTGTTCAGTTGACTTCCAACTCCTGGATCATTCTATGACAGTACATTGGGGATCATATGCCATGCTGGGGATCAAACCCCAATCAGCCACATGCAAGACAAGCACCTTAACCCCTGTGGTTTTTTGGGCCACAGCCAGTGGTCCCAGCAATCACTCCTGGCACTGGCCCTACAGTGCTTGCCTTACTGCTGGATCTCTAGCCTTTTAATCAGTGCTTCTTACATGGCACTCCATTGATCTGGACTGTTCTGCTACAACCTTTAAGTAGACTAGATTTAATGTCATACCTAAAACCAAATAACTATAGTGGACGTGCCAAGGCTTTGGAAAAGGTGATTTTCAGTACAATGACCATGAATTGTGCTAACCAGAGAACTATCCATACCTTTACTCCTCAGGACTTTTTGCTTACCATTCAAGATAGGTGTTATAATTTTTTGAGGGGTGAAGGCACATCCGACTCAGGGCTTACTCCTGGCTTTGTGCTCAGGGATCATTCTGACATTGCCCAGAGGACCATATGTGGTATAAGGAGTGAACCCGAGTTGGCCGTGTGCAAGTGCCTTCCCCACTGTTCTAATCCCTCCAGCCTTTAGTATTGTTTGCAGTGGCAAGAATTTGAAAAGCAAGCCCTCTATTGCAGACCTGTTTCCCCAGCCCTGTTTTTATTTTTTTGGAGGGGAGGAGTGTTAGTGAACCAACAGGGTCACTCCTGGTGATGCTCCCAAGCATCATGCTTGGGTGCATCACAAGGTGCATAAGGTGCTGAGGCCTCTTGCAAGGCAAACTCTTTAAGCCCTTCCTCTGGGGCTTCGTTCATTCTTAAGATGAGCAGACTGAAGGTTAGAGAAGCAAGAGTTGTCTTGTCAGTCTAGGATTCAAAGAGAGGTCAGCAAATCCAGAATCTGTACTTTTAGCCACAACAAATGTGTCCTCTATAAATGGTGCTTTTCAAAACACTACCCATACCGTCATGTCCTGCAGCAAATGCTGCTGGAGTCATAACACAAGACTGCATAACACAAGACACCTATCAATACAAACTTCATTTCAAGAAATGTGCCTTTATCCTTTTATCACCTGGCACCAAGGAGAGCAAGACACCAGCCTGTTCATGACAGCAGTTCCCACCAGGACTGACTGGCTGTCTGAATACTGTGTTCAAACAGGAGCGACAGGGAGGTCCCAGGACAGAAGCTATTGAGGGGCCTGGGTCCAGGCTGCTCTTGGTGCACAGGCTTTAGGTTTTATGCAGGGCTTTCTTTAAGGAACTGAATTCTGCATGCCCTGAGCCCTGTACAAAGATCCTGGCAGCAGAACACCACAGAAGGAAGTGGCACTGGAGGAGGGCAGTGGACGCTACCCTCGGCGCAGTTTGGCATCATCAAAGAAGTACCCAGAATAAATCCTTTACCCCCAAATCATTATATTTTTATTTTAGCCTCTGGGAGCAAGGATCCAAGCACGGCCTGGTGCTTGTGGACAGAGAATAAAGCAGCGATTGTCCAGATGGAAGAGGTTGCTGGGGTACCCTCCCCCACGGGTCTGCAATGGACTGTGCTGCTCAAAAAGCCAAGGGGAGGAAGAGTGGGCTGGCCAAGGCAGAAGGACAGGAAGGAGAAGGATGGCGGTGGCCTCTGATCTGTGCAGCTTCCTGGGCCTGTCTCCGGGTCTCAGGGCCTCCTGCCCGGCAGTCCTGTGCTGCCCTTTCCCTCCACACCCGCACCCCTTCCTGCGGGCTGCTCAGGTGCCCCTTCGCGAATGCATGAGCAGGTCCCGCTGCAGCCCTGTTTCCAGGCTGCTGGTGAGCCTGGAGGTCGGGGGGTCGGTGAGTAGAGTCAGTTTGTTGAAGACCCCTCGGCCAAAGTAGTCGGCGATCACAGAGAAGCTGTCATTGGAGCACTTGAGCTGCAGGGAGACAGGAGAGAGGGAAGCATCAGAGCTGAGGCTCCGCCACTGACCCCGAGGAGGGACGCCCCCGTCTGCGCCTCCAACGCACCTGGTGCTGGAACTGATCATGGAGGTCTCGCTTCTGTTCCTGGGCCCGGATCATGTCCATGACCTTGCGGTTCTCGGGGAGGCAGGTGGGGCAGTCGGCATCGCTCTCCGAGTAGCTCTCGAAGCAGTGCTGGTGGAAGGAGTGGCCGCAGAGGAAGTGCACGGAGGGCAGCTCCAAGGCGCTGTTACAGATGCTGCACTTGGTCTTCTGGAAAATCTTCGGACTGCATGAAGGAGACCAGAGCAGAGACAAGTCTGAGGCAGGGTCTAGGTCAAGTGAAGAGAGGCAGCCGGTGTTTCGGGGGGCAGGCCCCTATCTCGGGACTCCAAGACCTGAGTCCCGAGGTCTTGGAGGGGGTCTAGTGTGCCAGGGCTGGCCACACTCCCAGAAACTGCCAGTGATCAGAGGGTCTCATGAGTGCAGAGCCAGGAGTAAACCATGAGCACAGCCAGTTGTGGCCCAAAGCAAAAATCACTCCGCCACTCCCTCTTGCTCTCCTTGCCTCCTCCATGAAGCTTCTCTTCAGAACATACCACCCACAGAGGGCCGGACAGAGAGCTCAATGGTCTGAGTGCAGGTTTTGTAGTGGGGAGGCCTGAGCAGCTTCTAAGCACTGAGCCAGGAGAAGTCCCTGAGCGAAGCCAGGTATAAACGAAACAATCTCCCACCCCCATCCCCTCCCCCCCCCAAAAAAAAGCACCACCATCTAACACCCTGTATCATTTGACTTATTGAGCATGATTACTGTTCTGTCTCTACATCTGTGACATAAGGTGTATAAAGGAAGGCCGGGGGAATAGCTTAGTGGCAGAGTCCCTGTCTTGCATGTATGAGGTTTGATCCCCATCACCACCAGAAGGTATGACTTTTTTTTTTGGGGGGGTCACACCCCATTGATGCATAGGGGTTACTTCTGGTTCATGCACTCAGGCATTACTCCTGGCAGTGCTCAGGGGACCATATGGGATGCTGGGAATCAAATCCAGGTTGGCCGCGTGCAAGGCAAACGCCCTACCTGCTGTGCTATCACTCCAGTCCCCAGAAGGTATAACTTTTTATCTGTGTTCTTAGTAACTGCTTGGAACATAGAAGGGTAGGTTAGGGATTCCTTGTGGAAACAGGAAATTCTTTATTTTGGAGTCACACCCAGCAGGGCTTGGGAGACTTATGGGGTGCTGGAAATCTAATCCTGGTTTGGCTGCATGCAAAGCAAACATCCTACCTGTTGTACTCACTCTCTGGCCCCAAGAGAAAATTCTTGTTCTCTAACAGATATTTTACAATATATAATAAGGCAGGTGAAATTTAGGAAGGATTGAAGTTTATTATAAACACTACTCAGTTACCGACTTTCTGTAGTTTCTAAAGCAACGTTTCTTAGTTTTGTTACTTTGGGCTACAACCGACCTATACTCAGGGCTTACTCCTCGCTCTGTGCTCAGGGATCACTGCTGGTGACATTCACGGTGCTAGGGATTTGAACCTGGGTCAGCCAGTCATATGTAAGCTCCATAAAGCAGAGTTTCTACTGAGAACCACCACAGCTTACATGTGTGTTTTTAAAAGGTCAATTGTAGATACATCTAGGAGGACAATATTCTAAGGAACCATCCTTTCTTTTTTGCTCAGGAGTGACCTTGGTGGTGGTTGGGCAGGGGACCAGTGGGGCACTAGGGATGGAACCAAGAGGTCAGTGGGATGTAAGACAAGTGCCTCATCCTCCGTATACTCTCTCCAGTCCCAAGATAGATACCATCATGTTGTATACTGAAAACAAATTCCATGGTACTCCATGGAAAGGTTTTAATTATCCCTATAAAGGGAAAAACATTCTTTGGAGACTCAGATATAGCTCAAGGGGTCCAGCACCTGTTTGATCCCCCAAAAATCTCACCCCAGCTGTCCACATGTTCTTTTTTTTTTTTTTTTTTTTTTTTGCTTTTTGGGTCACACCCAGCAATTCACAGGGATTACTCCTGGCGGTGCTCAGGGGACCATATGGGATGCTGGGATGCTGGGAATCGAACCTGGGTTGGCCGTGTGCAAGGCAAATGCCCTACCCACTGTGCTATCTCTCCAGCCCCTGTCCACATATTCTAAGATCAGTCCGCGGCCAGTACCTCTCCTTGAGCTCCTGGATCTCCTGGCGGATGCGGGTAGTCTCCTCCCGATACCGCCGCACCCGCAGCTCATCCTGCGCAATCTGCTGGCTCTGCTTCTGCAGCTTCTGCACCAGGTAGTCCCGGATGACCGACAGGGTGGCGGTGGAGTTGTGGGCCAGGGTTTGCACCACTGCGGGGGTCGATAGGAAACAAGGATGAAGCCGGGAGTGCCCTCGGGACAGGGTGCCCTCCCACCATGGGCCTCCCTGTACCTAACAGGGGCGGCATGAGGTTTTTGTTCTCGATGTGCTTGAGCACGGCAGCCACGTATTCCTTGCAGTCCTCCTCCTTGCGGGCAAAGTAGCTGAGCGCCTGCTCCCAGAGCGAGGGTTCCTGCTCCCCGTGTCGCTCACACACTGCGATCACCTGCCGGTACTGCTCATGCTGCATGTGGTAGTGCATGATTTGCTGAAACCTGCGGGGCGGGAGGCAGCCCTCAGCGAGGAGGCCCCAGCGCCTCCCCTGAGCAGTCGTCCAGGTTCCAACTCTTGAGTCCCAGCCCCTCAGTGGCAGCCCTTTGGCTCCACCCCCATAGCAGCACCCTCTGGCTCCACCCACTCCAATTCCTCAGTGGTACCCCTTAGGCTCCACCCCTTTTAGCAGGCGGCCCTTTGGTTCCACCCCCTCAGCCGCATCATTCAGGCTCCACCCCTTCAGTGGCAGCCCTGTGGCCCCACGCCCTCAGGTGCAGCCCTTTGGCTCCACCCATTCCAATTCCTCAGAGGCAACCCTTTGGCTCCACCTCCTCAGCAGCAGCACACCCTGGCTCCACCCACTTCCACCATGCCCCGCCCACTCACAGTTTTCCCTGCTCGTAGAGGTACAGGACCCCATCCTGGAAGTCATGCATCTGACACAGAACCAGGGCTTTGTCGAAGACGTCGCAGAAGCGGCCACTCTTGAGCAAGGATATGGCCTCTGCATGAAGCTTCTCTTTCACCTAGGGAAGGAGGACAGAGCTGCTAGACACAGGGAGGGGGATTCGCAGCCTCATCCTCTCAGTTCCTCTTTTCTGAGGAGGAGATGAGGGTGGCCAAAGGTAACTGCAGCTGAGGGCTCAGGCTGTGGCCAGGCCTCACCTGGGGATCCTTCTCATGTGCCCAGTTCTGTAGCCGCAGCTCCAGGAGCGTGTCGTAGATGCCCTGTGGCGAGTCAGGCTGGACCTCGCTCATGTGCTCCAGGAAGGCCTTGAGCTCACGTGGGTTGTTGGCAAAGATGGGGATGAACTCCTCAGAGTTGGCCTAGGAGGGGATAGAGGCAAGGCGAGGCCTGGTGAGGGGGCTGGCTATCCAGGAGAGGATCCCCCACTTGCCCCAAACCATTCCCCCAGGCCTCACTCTGCCACCCGGGGCCTCCCGATCACCACGGCCTTCGAGGCTGGGCCGGTAGTCAGTGCAAAGTCCCTTCAGCAACTGGGTCGTCTGCTCTGGGATGTGATGCATGAGGGTCTTGCCATAGCGCTTCATGTTGCTCTCGGCCTGCTCGAAGGGCAGCTTGCCGATATACCGAAGAGCTTCCTGGTAATTCTGTGTCGAGACGGGGGACAGTGAGCAAGTTTCCTGCCTCTCCCTGAGGGTCACACTTCAGGGTCAGCCCAGACAAGGTCAGCCTCACTGACCTTGATGTCTTCGAGCTGGATCTTCAAGTACCACTCATGGTGTGCGTGGTTCTCTGCCAGATAGAGGGCGTGGGAGTAGTAGCCAGCCTGTCGGAGGACCTTGATGGCCGTCTCCACATCAAAGTGGACCTCAGTCTCGCTCTTCGTCTACCGGGACAGATCACAAAAGCAGCTTCCAGATTAGCCGGAGAGTAAAACGCTTAAGACACTGACGTTAGAGATAGTACAGGGCTTATGGCGCTTGCCTTGCAATGCAGCCAACCCCGCTTTAGCTCCCCAACGTGACATGGTCCCCAGAGAATCACCCGGAGTGAACGCAGACCTAGGAACAACCACTAGCCCTGAAAGGCGAGCAAATGGTACAACTGATATTTTAAGAATTAAAAACACTCAAAGGCGGAGCTGGAGCAATAAATAGCACAGCGGGTAGGGCGTTTGCCTTGCACGCAGCCGACCTAGGTTCGATTCCCAGCATCCCGTATGGTCCCCCAAGCACTGCCAAGAGTAATTCCTGAGTGCATGAACCAGGTGTAACTCCTGTGCATCGCCGGGTGTGACCCAAAAAGCAAAAGAAAAAAAATAAATAAAACCACAAAGTGGCCAGAAAGGTAATCTAGGAGTTAAGGCACTTGCCTTACATACAACTAACCTTGGTTTGGTCCCCATACCCCATCGTGGTCCCCTAAGCCCCACTGAGGATCCCTGAGCACAGAACCAGAAATAAGCCCTTAGCACAACCAGGTATGGCTAAAAGAAAAAAAAAAAACCTCCAAAATAAAAGGGCTCACAAAACAAAATATGCTGTTACCCAACCTCTCAATTTCTAAGATATAGGCCTGCTCTGCCCCTAGCATTAAAGGGATTCTAGGGACACTGGCTCACCCAGAGCCACATCCCTGGGCCTAGATCCCAGGAATATGGCGGAAGGCCTGGGGAGGCCAAGGGATGAATGCACTCTTTGCATGTGGGAGACGCCCAGGTTTGGTCCCTGGCACCACAGGATTCCCCCAAGCACAGCCAGGAGAGTCCTCTCACCCAAAGAAATAGGTCAGAGTAACTCTAAGCATTACCATACATGGCCCAAAGAAATGGGTGGGTGAGCAGAGAGATGGCACTAGATGATCCAAGAGACTGGGTCCAACTACAGTACTGCATGGTCCCCTGAGCACTGTCTGATGTGACCCCACAGCCAAAAGAAAACCAAGTAGGGAGTTGGGAGAAAAATAGCAGAGATGTTATTTCTCTTTGCAATCTGTAGACCACAAGGTCCTAGCAGGGAAAGGGAGTCAGGCCCATGTGCCCCCCCGCCCCGTCCCCTGCCCCACCTCCTGCGGAAGAACAAGTCTCGCCTGCAGGAGAGACGGCCTACCCCAGGCCTCACCTTGATGAATTCTTCCAGCTTAGAGCTGTCCTTGAGTTTAGTGTAACAGTTGAGCAGCAGGGTGGTGTGGTCAGCGTTGGCCAGCGACTGGCGATGCAGGGTCTGCAGGTAGGCAGTCAAGTTGTGGATGCGCTGAGCGTCCAGAAACTTGCGGATCACGTAGGATGGCTCCAACTTCCCGATGGTTCTAGGGAGACAGGGGAGTCAGGCAGCAGCGGCATCAATGTGCTTGACCAATGTCCCCTGGGCAAAGGAATCATGGGCCCTAGATCATGCAATGCAAACTGTTTCAGCGGGCCTGGGAGCCTGCCCTGTGGGAGAGAGGATGTTCACATCGCCATGGGCGATGCCCATGGGCCCCAGGAGCTACACAGCCCTTGGCATGGCTGCCTATCACTGCTGAAAATGGGTATCCTGGAGAGGCTGGCAACAGACCAGAAAACCCCTTGCCGATGCAGGTTATTTCCAGGAATTAATACCCAAGCCTGGAGTCAAGAAATGAATCCCGGGCCAGAGCAACAGCATGGCAGAAACTTGCCTTGGATGTGGGTGACCAAGGTTCCATTCCTGTCATCTCATATGGTCCCTTGAGCCTGCCAGAAGTGATCCCCAAGCGCAGAGCTAGGAGTTAACCCCTGAGCACTGCCAGCTGTGGTCCCCCACCTCCAAAACAATGAATCCCGGGGCTGGAGCGATAGCACAGCGGGTAGGGCGTTTGCCTTGCATGCAGCCGACCCAAGTTCGACTCCTAGCATCCCATATGGTCCCCCCCAAGCACCGCCAGAAGTAATTCCTGAGTGAAGAGCCAGGAGTAACCCCTGTGCATCACTGGGTGTGACCCAAAAAGAAAAAAACAAACAAACAAAACAATGAATCCCGGTTCCCTTTAAAGAACCAGGTGAAGGGCCAGAAGGATAATGCAGCAAGTGGGGTGCTTGCCCCAGGGTCGACCCAAGTTCGACCCTCGGTTACAGCCTCAGGACACCTGTCCCTGCACCCTGACTCCAGCCTCAAGCACTGACCGGATATACTGCTGGACAGCCCCGTCATGGTTGCCCTTGCTGTAGAGATGGTCCCCGTACTGCATGAAGATCTGGGCCAGCCCGTCGCTGTCCAGGTGCTGGCTCTTGGCTAGGTTAATGGCCATCTCAAAGAGGTTTTTCTTAAACAGCATCTGGAAGGGGAAGAGACGGACACACTGGCGGGAGTCCTCAGCAGACACCTCCCCAGCAGCTGCCCACAACACAGGCCAAACTGTCCCGGAGTTCTGGTCTGCCTCGATCCAAAACAGGGTGAGCCCCTCGGAGTGCTCCAAGCCCACTCATAGACTCTCCTTCCCCACCGTGCCTCCCAGCCACCGTTCCCCTCCCAGGCCTCATTCCACTTCTCACGCCACCCTGTGGACGCTGAGGGAGGTGGGCCCCCGGGGAAGGAGAAGGAAGCCTGGGGGCCCCCCCGGGGCCAGCTCTGGGAACCTGGTGGCCTTGCCTCCAGTTTGGTCTGTGTGTCCTTCTCCTGCAGTGCGTGGACCCGCCCATCCCGCGTCAGCACGTACAGGGAGCCCCACTCGGAGAGCACGTCCACCACATCCTCAAAGGTGGCGCTATAGGCGATGAACTTGTTGCACAGGTCATAGACGTTGAGGATCTGCTTGTCGGAGCTCTGCGAGTCGGCGCCTGTGAAATCGGACCTGAGTGCGGAAGTGAGAGCGCTGCGGCTGTGGACCACCTGTGTCTCTGCCCCCCCTTCATCTCCGAGCTGTCCCCTCCTCCCAGAACATGTACCCCTACCCCAGCTGTGCACCCCACGGCCTGCAGCACTGGTCCTACAATTGCAAGGGAATGTGGAGATCGGGTCTGACCTGTGAGAAGCCTAAATCACAGACAACGCACTTCAAAACCTGAGCACAGGGGCTGGAGCGAATGTACAGTGGGTAGGGCATTTGCCTAGCACGCGGCCAACCCGGGCTTGATTCCCAGCATCCCACATGGTCTCTCAAGTACTGCCAGGAGTAATTCCGGAGTGCAAAGCCAGGAGTAACCCAAAAATAAAAAACAAAAACAAAAACCTGAGCACAGGGGCTGCAGCGAGAGGAGTGTGGGGAGGGGAAGACACTTGTCTGGTCCAATCCCAACACCACAAATGGTTCCCCAAGCCCAGCCAGGAGTGATCACTGAGCACAGAGTCAGGAGTATGCCCTGAGTATCACTGGGCCAAGGGAAAAAAAAACAAACAAACAGCCACAAGCACAGTTTAATCCATTGCATAAGCCATCCAAGACTTGTGTACCAGGCGCTGGAGAGATAGACCAGCGCTGGCCTCACATGCAGCCAACCCAAGTTTGATCCCTGACACCCTATACAATACCTCGAGCCTGCCAGGAGTAAATCCTGAGCACAGCTAGATGTGGCCCTAAAAACAAAACAAAGACTCATGTCCTTGAGCACCCCCTCCGCACACTGAGGGCGCTGCTAAAGGAAAGCTGTTGTCCGACCCCAATCGCTCTCGGGCTGCTCAGAGGAAGAGATCCCTGCCCAGTGCTCATGCACTTTCCTAGTTCTCGTACTCATTCCCTGTCCCTCTACCTAATTCAGACTGGAGAGTAAAACCAATAGTACCAACCCAAATTCCCCAGAGCCTTCTAGACCTAGGACTGCTGGGCCAGTAGCTTCAGCAAAAACATCTCAGGCCAGAAGGCAGTACAGGGGTGAAGGTGCTTGTCTTGCATGTGGCTGACCCACTTCCATTCCTGGCATCGTATATGGCCCCTTGTGCACTGAGCCAGGAAAAGCCCGAAAACCCCCCACCAAATAAACACCATCTCTCAATGAAAACATAGCAGTCGGGCTAGGCCACTGGTTACTGCCCTTCTGCAGACCAGTGCTGGTTCACGGGTTGAAAGGCTGCAAAAACCCAATCTAGGCAGAAGCGCCAACTACAAAAAAAAAACAGAGGGGCTGGAGCAATAGCACAGTGGGTAGGGCATTTGCCTTGCAGAGACCCGGATTCGATTCCCAGCAACCCATGTGGTCCCCTGAGCACCGCCAGGGGTAATTCCTGAGTGCAGAGCCAGAGGTAACCCCTGTGCATCGCCGGGCGTGACCCAAAAAGAAAAATAATAATAATAATAATAAAAAAGAACAGAGCAGGAGCTGGGCAGGAGCCAGGCATTGGGCTTTTACAATCAGGGCAACAGCAGGGAGGGAACTTGCCTTGCATGTGGCTGACTTGGGGTCGATTCCTGGCACCCCATGTGGTCCCCCAAGCCCAGCCAGGAGTGAATACTGAGTACAGAGCCAGGAGAAAGCCCTGATCACCGCTGGCTCCCAAAACAAGGAAACAAAAACAATCAGGTTAACTCTGGGGAACAAGACCCACTGTCCTCTGGCCTCCTTACTTGGGTGCGACCTTCCGGTCGCGGGAGACGATGACCAGGTAGCCTCTGAACCAGTGTGCGATGAGCTTGTGGCCCTCGAAGGCGAAGCAGGGCCCACGTTCATCAGGCTGGTATAAGTAGACGCACTCGTCCCCGGCCACTATGAACTGCAGGTCCTGAGAAGGGTCGCTCAGGGCTGAGCAGCGCAGGCCACAACCATGCGTGTCCAACTCCATCCGTGGGCAGTCCTTGCCAGAAACTATATAGGACTGAGAGGGCAGACGGGGGTCAGTGCTCCCCAAGAGGACGAGGCCCGGAAGTCTTCTGCAATGCAGCACTGTCTGGGATGATGCTTTGTCCCTCTTAGCATTCAGGCTTGCCCTGGCTATGCCGTCCTCCACTACCCCCACCTGGCCATCATCTAGATATCCAGGGATCACATTTCCTTCCTCGGTACTTCTACCTACAAGAAACTCAGTCACCTTTTACCTCTTTTACCCAAAGGCTGTTCCGGAAAAACAGTAGGCCATCACAGATTATAGCATCAGGGACCGGAGACTGAGTACAGAGGGGTGGGCGCTTCCCCTGTACAATATCAACTCCTGTTCGATCCCTGACAGCCCTTAGCGTCTCCCAAGCCCCTGCCAAGAGTGATCCTTGAAAGCAGAGCCAGGAATAAGCCCTGAGCATCACCGGGTATGACCCAAAAACAAAAACAAAAAAATAAATGAATGAATAGAAGCACCAGGAATCAGAATAAGCAACTTGTCTAATGTCCCTTAGCAAGGCAGCTAGGAGACAAATTCGGGTCTACGAGAATAAGCTCCACGTTCCATCCTCCAATTCTAAGCTTTCCCAGTATCCTCAGTGAAGAAATAAAATAGTAAGCACCAGGGAGGGAAGGGGGAGGACTTGGAGCGATAGCAAAATAGGCAGGGTGTCTATTTTACACACCGTCACCAGGTTCAATCCCGGGCATTCCATATGGTCTTCCAAGCTCTGCTAGGAGTAACTCCTGAGTAAAGAGCTAGGAGTAACATCTGAGCATCGCTGGGTGTGACCCCCAAACAAAAACAAAACAAAGTAAGCAATGGGCAAGTGATTCAAGGTGCTGAGATTTTTTAGAAATGCAAGAATTCTAGGGCTGGTTGGAGTGACAGTACAGAGGGTAAGGCGCTTGTCTCGCATGCCGCTTACTCAGGTTTGATCCCCAGCACCCCAGATGGTCTCTAAGCCCTGCGGGGAGTGATTCTTGAGCGCAGAGTCAGGAGTAAGCCCTGAGCATCAGTAGTGTGGGCCAAAAACAGAAAAAGCAAGAATCTCTAGTCAGTTCTTCACTCTGGCCCCATGGGCAGAGGAGAAAACTTCTCTCTCAATGACTAATAATGTCACACCTGGACATTCTCTGTTGTCACCACAAACAAGTGAGTGGTCTTTCCAGCTTGGCGAAAGGCCAGGCCAGTGACAGGGTAGTTGCCCTTGTGCAAAATCTGAGTCTTGCTATGCCGGTCCCGGGTGATGTCTCCTTTGTTCAACGTCACGCTGCCATCGGTGAAACCTGCAAGACAGCAGGAAGTGCTGCATTGAGGCTACAAAGATCCAGAAACACAAAAGGGTGAAAAGATCATTTTCAACATCTATGAAAACTGAGTCGGGCTAAAGCGATAGCATAGATGGTAGGGCACCTGCCTTGCAAGCAGCTGACCTAGATTTGACCCCTGGCAACCCATATGGTCCCTGAGCCTGTCAGGAGTAACGCCTGAGTGCAGAGCCAGGAGTAAGCCCTGAGCATCACCGGGTCTGGACAAAAATAATTTTTTTTGAAATAAATAAAAGTGACAATATTGGGCCAGAGAAACAGTATAGCAGTAAAGGCACATGCCTTGCATGTGGCCGACCTGGTTCAATCCCTGGTAACACACGGTCCTCTTGAGCACTACTGGGTTCAACCCTAGAGGCCCCCAAGCACTGATAAGGTGGCCCTGGTGGTCCCTGGTTCTACAAAGACCGAATAGCATCATCTCCTTGCTTTGAAATGCCAGCCTAGTTGGCTGAGACTCTGGCGGGGGGTGGGCAGGCAGACCGCCTGGGACACCATGTGGGAGGCCCCAAATATAAGAAAAGTAGGGCTGAAGAGATATCACAGGGGTTATGGCACTTGGTGTATATCTTACTGATCACAGCGCCACAAATGACTCCTCATGGACAGCTACGGGTCACTCCTGAGCACAAAACCAGGAATAGACACTGGGTGTGTTCTTAGAAACAGAGGAAGGAGGAGAAGTGATGAGCTTGGGCTGAAGAGTCAGCTCAACAGGCCAGAGCCATGCTCTATAGGAGGCCCTAGTTCAGTCTCCAGCACCTCAGGGTTCCCTAACACAGAGCCAGGAGCAGAACCCAAGTACCACCAGCTATGGTCCACAAACAAAAAATAAAGATTGAGACTCACTGACACACTGTCACAGAACAAGACTAAATGCTTTCCCATTCCAAGGTGTAATATCTCCAAAACCTCAGGTCACAGCCAGGAATGTGACTCAGTAATAGAGCGTATGTCTGCTTTGCCCTTTAAAATCCTGGGGTCAACCCCCAGCACAACCACCTACAGCAAACCCACACCAACATTCCTCACTTGAGTACAGTGTGGCCTCTTGCAGCAGAAGCATCTCTGAAGAAAAGGGTTTAGCATTGCCTTCTTTCTACTCACCAATGGCCATAAAGTTGAGATTTTCATGAACAGTCAGACAAGACACAACGGTCGGCTCAGTTCCTGGGATGGCAGGAAAGATGCGCGTGCACAGCGGGTTGCCGCCGTCTCTCTTCTCCAGGTTCCAGATTTTCACCTGTGGACAGACCTCATGAGTGTGCATACCAGTCACTCCGTAAAAACCATTCCCAGGCTCCCGGTCTTTGCTACTCACCAGGGGATTGATGCCCTCTTCATCTTCACCAACAGATGCCAGGATATTGTGCTGCTTCAGTTGGTACAGGTGTGTCACCCGCAGTTTGTAGGCCTGGAAGCCTGTGAGCTGTAAGGAGCGGGGCAAGAACCAGATCTGGCCTTCCATATGTGCAGAGCAGTCAAGGAGCCTTCTTTCCAGGAAGAGTAACTTGCATCTCCACCAGAACCCAAGTAACCACACACATAACACTCTAAACATTTTTTTTCAAGAATCTCCCCACAGGGCTGTAGAGATAGAACAGAGGGTAGAGTGCCTGCCTTGCATGCAGCACCCCAGGTTCGGTCCCCTGCTCCTAACATGGTTCCCCGAGCACCGCCAGGAGTAATTTCTGAATGCATGAGTCAGGAGTCACCCCTGTGTGTCGCCGGGTGTGACCCAAAAAGAAAAAAAGAAAAAGAAAAGAATTTCCCCATAAGTTTGTTCCCGGAACTCCCCAGCATTTTCTTTCTTTTTGTTTTTTCTTTTTGGGTCACACCCGGCGATGCACAGGGGTTACTCCTGGCTCTGCACTCAGGAGTTACTCCTGGCGGTGCTCAGGGTACCATATGGGATGCTGGGAATCGAACTTGGGTTGGCCGCGTGCAAGGCAAACGCCCTACCCGCTGAGCTATCACTCCAGCCCCTTATTTTCTTAATAAAACGAAAATTCAAGAGCTTAATGACAACAATTAGAAAACCAAAGCAGCATACACCTGATCTCTTATACCTACAGGTCAGCCCGAGGTTGGGGAGATCGTGCCATTATACTCAGTTCCCTTAAAGCCAATTTCCACCCATTCTTTTCGGTTTTGGTTTTTGGCGGCACTCAGAGGCTACTCCACAGGGGTCACTCCTAGCAATGCGGAGAGTGGGGGGGATGGAACGCGGATGTCCTGCACGCCAAGCAAGTGCTCGGTCCCTGAATTCTCTCTAGCGCTGCATCCATCCATTTGACTGATCGTACAGTGACCTTGCCAAACAGCATTTCCTACATTCTCATCGCAGATAAGAAAGCCGGAGCCCAGAGAGGTGAACAAACTTGCCCAGGGTTTTCAGCGGCAAGTGAGGGATTGGACTTCCTTCCTCCGTCCCTCAGCCCCGAGAAGGGGCGCTGAGTGCCCATCTAAAGGAGAGTGGCATGTGACACGAAGTGCTCGGATAGACAGGTTCCATTCCAACCGGTCGTCTCAGGATGCGGGGAGAGAAGGGGCAGCTCCAGAAGGATATCTCCAAAGACCAGGCTCCCTCGGCCTGAATCGCAGACGGTGATGCCGGGAGGGAGAGAAAGGAACTTGGAAGCTGCGGGTCCAGAGGCAGGCGCAGCTCCGGGCGCGGCCCCATCATTGCCCAGAGGTTCCTTCACCAGCTCCTTGTCGAAGAAAACGAATCGCCGCCACTGCAGGTAGGCCGCCATCTTGGCCGCGGGCCCCTCCCCTGGGCGCGAAATCACGTGAGGGGCGGGGCGTCACGTGACCCGCCACTTCCGGCTCGGGGCGCCTGGAACCTGGTGACAGCTGGCCGCGGCGGCCCCAGAGCCGGAGCCTGGATGAATTTCCTTCCTCCGCCGGGTGGTGCGGGCGCCAGATGAGAACTGGCGGGGCGCTTTGTGCCTTGTAAGCCGCTGTACCTCGTTATTTGGGTTCCCAGCTACTAGGGCTGTTTTGAGGCATCACTTGGTTTTTGCGCCGTGGGGTAGAAGGGATTGTGAGCCAGATAGAGACCGTACTGGTGTTTGCGCTCCTGTCTTGGAACATCGTAGACAACTAAACAGGTTTCTTGTCTTTTTCACTGAAAGCACTTGTGGAGCATTTAGTGAACCTTACGTGGCTTCAAGCTTCCACTTCAACCGCCTTCCCAGCCTTAATTTTCTCAGTGCTGCTTTTTGGAGAGTGGGATGCTCCACCTGCCAGTGCTCAGGTTTTACTCCTGACTCTGCACTCAGGAGTCACTCATGGCAGGCTTGGACTCATATGGGGTTTTTCCCAGGAATCGAACCTGGATCAGCTGCATGCAAAGCAAACGCCTGACTCACTGTACTATCTCTCCATTCCAATTTTCTCAAATTCCCAATTCTCTGCTGAAGAACTTGGGTCTTTAAGGGAGCTCTTCCCTCCCAGAGCTCTGTAGGAACCTGATCATACCACAGCAGCGATAGGGCAACACCAGTTTTAGTTTAGTCCGCACTAACTCACGGCTTCTCACTTATCAAGGTCAACAGTTTATCAAAGAATGGACAGTTGGACAGAAACTCTGATTGCTCTATTGAAGTGTTAACACTGCATACCAGCCTCCCCCCATCATCCTGCACGTTGATTCTGTGCTGATGCATGCCACCAGCCTTCTCATGACTTCCTGGTGCTTGTCAGAAGCAATCTTAGTGGTGGTTCACGTGACCCCAACAGTTTCAGATCCTAAGTCTGAACTGCATGTTGGCTGTCGAGACAAAAGCAGAAGTCTTACGCCTAAAGAAGTTTCTTAGGGTGTGTGTGTGTGTGTGTGTGTGGAAAATGTGTAAGGTCATACCCTGCTGCATTTTGGCTATTCCTATGATCAGGAATGCCCCTGGCAATGTGCTTAAGGTGGTGCTGGGTATTTAAACCAGGGTTAGTGGGATGCAAGGCAAGTACCTCCCGTACTATCTCTCCAGAAAACCCCCTAATCAAGTTTGTGCAAAACAAAAATGAGACAGAAACTCCGAAGACCTTGGGTTTCCTCCCCTTTTTCAGAGTGGCAGGGTACCAGGTACCTGCCCAGCAAAAAGGACCGTGGATCCAACCCAAGGCCTCCCACATGGAGCTGAGTGATTTTAAGAAGGTCAGTATCTAAAGCAATGAAAGTGGATGCTGCTCTTATCCCCGCCTCTTCTCCATCTTACTGGCAGGTCAAGAAGAGTGCATTTGTCTGAAGAGGTAAAACCAGGGGGAAGAAACTAGCCAACTACTGCCAGAGAGCGGTAAGAGAACCTCTTTCCTCTTTACCCAGGCATTCCAGCTGGATCTGGATCTCAACCCAGGTATGGGTTGCACTCACGCTTTAGTAGCTTGATCCCATTTCTACATTGTATTCCTTCCCCGTATCACATCAGGCTCCAGAATGTTAATGGGGCTCAAGGAAAGCCAACACAGCCAAGTGGCAGTTTTGTTGATTTCCGTGCGCCCCCTACTGTCTGGCAGCAGAAGTCCAGCGTCTTCCTCTGATTTCTGAGTCTGGGTCTACCTGAGTTTGGCCCCTTGGATCTCTTTTTGAGGGGTTTGGGGTTACACCTGGTGGTACCCAGGGCTTACTCCTGGCTCGACATGCAGGAATTAGTCCTGGTGGGCTCGGGGGACCATATGGGTTGCAGGGGATGGAACCTGGGGACGTCACGTGCATAGCAAATACCCTATGCACCTGCTATGTACCTGCTGTACTATTGCTTCGGCCCCTTCTCCTTAGATATTCTTATTGTGAGGGTGCAGATCAAGAGAGATCCATGGCACCTCCTTTTTGGACTTAGTACTTTCTTCCTTTCCTCCTTTTCACAGAGGAGTGTGCTAAAGAGAGCCAGAATATAAATAAGCACAAGGTATAGTTCTTGCCCCTTAGGAAACTTGACAGCTATTGGGGATAGAGAAAGAACTACAGCCACTGCCCTTAATTGCATGTAGCAAATGGAACCTGGAAAGTGCCTGCCTTTTGCGGTGAAACTATTCAGAAAAGCTTCAGAGCCACCCCCTAGAAAAGTGTCACTTCTCTGACTAGATAAAGGCTCAGAAGCGTTCAAATGCATTCTTTGGGCTGAAGCATCAAAGAAATAAAATGAGAGTTCCTTCGCCCTCCAACACTTAATTATATGGTTTAGTGAGGTGTGAAGCTACACTACACTTGTCAGAACACACTCTGAGTTTGTCTTGTTAGGTTTGTTGCTTTTTTTTTTTTTTTTGCTTTTTGGGTCACTCCCAGCGATGCACAGGGGTTATTATTCCTGGCTCTGCACTCAAGAATTACTCCTGGCGGTGCTCAGGGGACCATATGGGATGCTGGGAATCGAACCCAGGTTGGCTGCGTGCAAGGCAAACGCCCTACCTGCTGTGCTATTGCTCCAGATCCTATAGTTCCATTTTGTACCAGGAACTTAAGTATAGTGAGGAACATATGCAGGGAAACTACATAGAAAAAGGATATGTGGACAGACTCAATTGCAGGTATATTTCTTTTTGGACTTGGGGCCATACCTGATCATGTCCAGGGTTTACATTGTGCTCAGGGATCACTCTTATTGGACTCAGGTGACTATATGGGGTGCTGGAAATAAAACCTCGTTGGTCACACACAAGGTAAACACCTGCTCACTATACTGTAGCTCTGATTCCTATAATTCTATCTTTCATTTTGTTTCTTTTTTTTATTTTGCTTTTTGGGTCACAGCTGGCAATGCTCAGGGGTTACTCCTGGCTCTGCACTGAGGAATCACTCTTGGAAGTGCTCGGGGGACCCTATGGGATGCCAGAGATTGAGCCTGGGTCAGCCACATGCAAGGCAAACGCCCTCCCTGCTGTACTATTGCTCCAGCTCGTTTGTTTTTCTTTTTGTCTTTTTGGCCATACCCAGCTCAGGAATTACTCCTAGACTCTGTACTCAAAAATTACTGCTGATGGTGCTCAGGGCACCAGATGGGATGATGGGGATCAAACCCAGGTCGGTCGTGTATAAGGCAAGAGCCTTACTGCACTATCGCTCTACCCTGCCTGTTTTTCTTTTTCTTTCTTTCTTTCTTTCTTTCTTTCTTTCTTTCTTTCTTTCCTTCTTTCCTTCCTTCCTTCCTTCCTTCCTTCCTTCCTTCCTTCTTTCTTTCTCTCTTTTCCTTCCTTCCTTCTTTCCTTCCTTTTCTTTCATTCTTTCTTCCTTTCTTTCTCTCTCCCTCCTTCCTTCCTCCCTTCTTTCCTTTTTTCACTCACCACACCCAATGATGCTCAGGGCTTAATCCTGGTTCTGTGCTCAGAGATCACTCTTGTCAGGCTCAGAGGACCATATGGAGTGCCTAGGATTGAATCTAGGTCAGCCATGTACAAGGCAAGCGCCCTTTTCCCTGTCCTGTCACTCTGACCCCTGCAGCTTTTTCTGCAGGGAGGCCTGGCCAAGAGGCCCTTCCCAGAAAATCCTCAATGGGGCCTGAGGACTCAGTGCAGCTCAGCCCCTAGAGCAGTGCTTGGGGACCACCCCGAGCAGGGTTTGGAGGATTATGTGGTGCTGGTGCCAGGGTCAGCCACGTGCAAGGCATGCGCCTCAACCTCTGTGTATGTCTTCCACCCTGAAATTGTTGGATTTTTAAAAATTATTTTGGTTTCTGGGCCACACCTGGCAGTTTCAGATCTTCTTTGATTAACATCTTCAAATTACGACATAATTTGCATGACTCCTATAGTTTACATATGCCTGCTGGTGTGTTCCTTCATTCTGCTGTTTGGCACATATCCTGCAAAAGAGCAACTTCCTCTGAGTTTCTACACAGCGTAGCAGAGAGGGGTGCAGTCCTCAAACGGTGGTGGTTTTTTTGTTTGTTTGCTTTTATTTTGAGGCCACACCCTGCAATGCTCAGGGGTTACTCCTGGCCCTGCACTCAAGAATTACTCCTGGCGGTTTGGGGACCATAAGGTAAAAAGTAAAGGTAAAGGCCCTCCCGTTGTTCATCGATTTGCTCGAGCGGGCCCAGTAACGTCTTCATTGGAGACTTTGTTGTTACTGTGTCTGGCATGTCGAATACGTCACGGGGAGCTTGCCAGGCTCTGCCGTGCGGGCGAGATACTCTCGGTAGCTTGCCGGGCTCTCCGAGAGGGGTGGAGGAATCGAACTCGGGTCGGCCATGTTGGCTGTGTGCAAGGCAAACGCCCTACCGCTGTGCTATCGCTCCAGCCCATATGGGATATGATACCATAGATTGAATCAGATCAATCATGTGGAGGACAAGTTCCCTACCCACTGTATTCTTTTTTTTATTAGTTTTAATAACACCAAACATCAGCCAAGCGGCACAAATGCTGGCCGACTTTGACCGTGAGTGTGGAAAGGTAGGACTACAGCTGAATCTTACGAAGACAATGTTTATGAGAAACAGCCTCGTTCCTGACGCCCCATTCGCTCTCAACGGAACGACCATCTCCGAATGCAACAGCTATGTGTACCTAGGTCGAGAGGTCAACATGACAAATGACCTGGCACCCAGCTGTGCAGGAGGAAGAGAGCGGCTTGGAACGCCTTCAAGAACGTCGAAGAAATAGCTAAGAGGACGAAGAACCTCCGGCTCCGGGCACATCTCTTTGATTCCACTGTTCTTCCTGCATTAACATATGCCTCAGAGACCTGGGCCCTACGCAAACAAGATGAGAACGCTATTCAGGTCTCCCAAAGAGGAATTGAAGAGCTATGCTTGGAATATCACGTTTCACTCAA